ACCCATTAACAGGCAATGCACCCTGCTTTAGTATTCTTTAGTGACTCTTCAGAATTTGCTCAGAGTCAATGTGAGTAAAATACATCTTGTATTCAAGCGCTTTCATATACAAAGTTTCGTTTGAATACGGCACAGAGTAGGAATATTTATTTAGAATTTTTCAGAATATCGGGTTTTTACTCGCACGCACGTTTATAGCTCGATCAATGCACGTGCAAATCATGCCGACCTACAGAATCGATTTCCGGTTTTCCTAAACAGCGCGTTGTTTTGATGTGCGTTCCATGGGCCGCGCTAAAAATATAAATATTCTGTAAATACCGAAATAAAAGATGACAATCTCAAGACACAAGCTTGAAAATAACACTATAAATAGTGTTTTCGATTCTGGTTCCAATAATATCATTACGAAAAAGATATGTCCAAAGGGGCCGAAGTTATGTTCGGCAAAATGTATGGCTAGTACGTTTACATTGTTTGTTATATTATGAAATATGATACCATACTTGTATTAAAATTCGCGTCGAACTAATGTTATTGTATTAGGCAAATGAGTAGACTTGCCACATGCAAGTCGACCTCGAACGAAATGCGTTTCTTCGAGGTCGACTTGTGGCAAGTCTAGCAAATGAGAACCATACAATAATGGTTCTAGCTCTTGTTGGTATTTTGAACGCACGCTTTATCTCTAGTATAGCTACCACAAAGCTTTTCGCGCGGATTATATTTCGCGCAGTACTAAAATTTCCGCACCCAGCGGCCATAGCCTGTGAGAATTTACGGCTGTACACAGGCTAAGCGGCCAGCGCTACGCTAATTCTCTTAATTCTAGTACTGCGCGGATTTGAATACATGTATTTAAAGGTATATTGTCGACATTTGACTAAAACTATCGTAAGGAATTCGGAGAGTTTGTCCTTGTTTATATTCCAATATATTGTATAAATTCGCTGGGTACAAATTTATGAAATTTTGGGGTTTTCGAGTCGTTTAATTTAATACAAAAAGAAAAACATTAATTCAACAGGCAAGAAAGTCCAGAGTGCGATGCAAAAATTAACACAAGTACACAACGGATGTTATGAGTCCACGACGTAGCCTATATTTATAGTTGTTTATTAAAAAGTCAAACTGTCAAACCTTTAACTTGTCCTTGTTTAAATATCCTTCTATATATTGTATAAATTCGCTGGGTCTAAATTTTCGAGTCGTTACACAAAGAAAAACACATTAATTCAACACGCAAGAAAGTCCAGAGTACGACACAAGGTAAAATCCATAGGAAACCGGCACAATTCTTTGAAAATTCAACGAAACTGTGTAAAATATAGTTTGATCACTCTGTGAAAAGCCGCCATTGGAGTTCGGAATTGTGCGCGTGCGTACAAGTATATGGGCTAATAAACGAAAAATGCACCACAAGCATGGCATGAGTCGGCTATTACGTACATAAATACGGACTTATTACTATATTATGTAAATCATGGAACTGGGGGGATCGATGGCATTTTGGCTTAGTCGTTGCACCCTGAGCCTGCGATGAGCTAACGCAAACTCGATTTCTCGACTACGAAAAAAACACAGGAAAAGACAGAAAAAGAGGGATTTAAGACACTTGGCCTACAGGCCAGTGTAAAAAACATATACAAATAAACATTTTTCCTAATTGCCGCTGTTTCAAGAAGATCTACAAATAAACATTTTTAACATCATAATCTATATACAGTACAGAAAATATTTTTCCTGACTGCCATAAGTTGTCCTGCTGTTTCGGGATGATCTATATATGCTGCTGCTTAGCCAGATAAACATTTTCCCTAACTGTCGTTGGGCCGCTGTTTCAAGATGATGTACATTTGAAAACTTTCGAACTATTGTTATCTTAAGTTCTTTGTATGTTTGCATGGTGATAAAATATAATAGGTTTTGTTTGTGGAAACACCACGTAAATTTATTACTGCAAAGCTTTCGATCCGTAAGCCCGGATCTTCATCAGTGCTAATAATATGATAAGCCCGGATCTTCATCAGTGCTAATAATATGCTCATATTATTAGCACTGATGAAGATCCGGGCTTACGGATCGAAAGCTTTGCAGTAATAAATTTACGTTGTGTATCCACAAACAAAACTTATTATATTGTTATCTTACTTTTTCAAGATAATCTGTTGTTCGAAGTGGCACGTTGATGAATAAATTTTGTAACTTTTGTGCGTTTTTTTCTTATTTTGGTGTGAAAAACAGGCACTTTTCTACAAATTTTAAATCTAATTTCGATGCTCAGAATGCAAGAAATGGTACTTGCGGGCTTCAAATTTCAAAATTTTTCTTGGGGGGGGGGCATGCCGCCAAAACCCCCCTAGGTAGGGCGTGGCCTTCGGCCCCGCATGTTGATTTCATCCAAAATGCTACGGTCAGATTGAGACGCTGAATCCGCCCCTGAATAACGCTTTAGCCATATCTACTAACCTACATACTAGTGCGCACTGTGAAGTATAAAGGCGGCGATCTGCATGGAATAATAATATATGTTATTGTGCCAAGAAAGATTCCATGTTACTTCCACACGATATCAGGAAATTGAGACCAAAATATTATTACTGACTGGAAAGTTTGGAAATTGCGCTCCGGAGATTTCGAAAATTCAATAGTAAATATATAGAAAGCATCAACATTCGCGCGCCCGATATCTCCGCCGCGCGATACAAACTTTAAAAATATAAAATTATGTACAAATTATCTACTTCCCTCCTCGATAACACAACAATGAAACGTCGTTATAACTTTTAGTGAATTCTTAATATATTTATTTCAAAAACCCCAAATGAAAAGACACGACTGGACCAAATAGTCAATAGCGAACTTTTGCACGCTATTCCATGGTCGCCATTTTGATTTTTATTTCGTAAGAATTACGTAATTAAAATGACGTAATTTGTCATTTTGTGGCGTTCCAAAGGGCAAACCTAGAGTCGGTGGGCACCACAGGTGGCCCCACCGACTAATGATGCGAACCAACAGATCACGAATTGAACAAGTCACATATTATTAGCACTGATGAAGATCCGGGCTTACGGATCGAAAGCTTTGCAGTAATAAATTTACGTGGTGTTTCCACAAACAAAACTATTATATTTATTTATTGTAACTTAATTACTTACTGTCGATACAATGGAAGTGTTGATAAAATATTGCATGAATTCATTTCCTCAAGTTGATCAATTCATTTGATAGAAAATTGATCAACTTCCTGTTACTTTTAGATGAGCCAATTAGATTCCGTTTCAGAACCGATTGACCAATAGGAAACGCACAGGAAGTAAAAAGAAATTTGAATTCGTATGAATTGATCAAGTTGAGGAAATGATTCATGCAATATTTTATCAACACCAGTGCTCCACTTACAAGGATTTTTCCTTGCAGCAAGGAAATATTGGTCCTTGCAAGGAATTTACAAGGAAATAAAATTTACAAGGAAATGGCAAGGAAAAATACAAAAATTAAAGGAAATTGCAAGGATTTCTGTAACTTATACAGTGTACCAGTTACAAGTCTTAAATGATGCTCAATTTCTGGTAGGATCTATGATACATTTGCCTCAAATATGCCTGAATTTTCTTGATTTTTTACACCGTTGGGTGACAAGGAAATTTTGTGGGAAAAAAGGAATTTTGGAGATTGTAAAAGAATTTTTGAACAAGCGATTGTGGAAGCACTGATCAACACTTCTAGAGGTGTGCATCGGATCGGATTGGACGTTTATAATCCGACAATTGCCTAATGTTTAAAATCCGATCCGATCCGAAATTATCTAATCCGAATCCGATCCGAGTTTTCATAAAGAATTCCAATCCGATCCGAAGAATTCTTTAATAAAATAAATTTCTCATTCAAGTTGACATATTTAACCAAATAAATATAAAAGCAAGAAATACATGTCAAGAAGCTGACAAAGTGACGTCCAATTGAAGTATCAAACGAATAATGCAGCGACAACCGCGATAATGTTTTGATAAATGCATGGATAATTAATTCTTGCGATAATGCATGGATAATTAATTCATTTTATTTCGAATATCGAAGTCCGATCCGATCTGACTACGAAACAACTTTATCAATCCGATCCGATATGAATATTTTGGTTCCGAAATCCGAACGAATCCGATCGGATCGGATCGGATTTGCACACCTCTAAACACTTCCATTGCATCGACAGTAATTATTGCACAATAAAATCGTTAATATCATAAAATACCTTTCACTGAAGTTTTGTAATGTTGACAAAAATGCAGACTATTCTAAGATAATTAGTGCATAATACTATTACAGTAATCTCATTAAACCAATAGAAATTTTAAACTAATTTTATACCAACAATCTCAACACCAGGGGCTTATTCGTAGGTGAATGGTATAAATCGCCTGAGAATATTTGTGAAATAAATGGTCGGATTTAAGAAGTCTGCTTACAACTTGAGTTGTGTGCTTGATTTATACAGTAAGCTTGATTTATACTTGATTTATACACTACACAAAAATTGTGTAGTGTATAAAGGTGGAAACTAGGAGAACTAAAATGGATAATCATTCAGAAAAAACTGCGGGGGATATACTGATTCATGGACCCTGGATTTCTCTTCATGGACCCTGGATTTGCTTATTACTAATTTCAAGCCACGTTTTTCTATATACTATAGGATTGGTTCGCTATAAAGAGAACAATATTAGTCTTGCTATACACATGCATTCTTCATTCCAAGAAAAGATTAGATGTTAACTCCTAGTAATATTAAATAATTATTATTTTACACTTCCCAATGTTTGGCAGATTGACTAGATTTATAATGGATCAAATAGCTTTCCAAGATCTTCAACTATGAAGGATTTCTATTCAATATTGACAATCGCATACTCATGATACATGCGATAGTTGAAGAGACATATGTGGAACAGTGAAATATTATTATGTTCATGCTTAACTATATTGTCATTTGTTCTACAGCAACTAAAGAAGCCGCTTTCAATTACGCCTTGGTTACTGCTGGCATTGTTCACGTAATTGCAAAAAATTGTATGAAAGGAGACTTGCCGAGTTGTCATTGTAGTCGGGAAAAACGACCACAATTGTTCAGTGGAGGTTGGAGAGTTTTTGGAGATAACATTCAATATGCTTCAGACTTTTCCAAGAAGTTTCTGGATGATCCCAAAGTCCTGGAGAAATTGAATGGCAGCACTAACGCACAACGTGCTGAGAAACTTCTTATGGATGATCATAATAAAGAAGTAGGAAGACAGGTACAAAAGACAAAAATATATCATTTTCTTTACGTACAGCATCGTCATTCTCCGTGAAAGACAGTCCGTTCAGATCATTGGTTGAGATGAACGAGCAGCGCGGATATCTCGCACTGCCTAAATCCGGTTTCACTCCACTAGGCGGAATTTTTCGCGCGGAGCGGAATTTTTGTTTGTTTTTACTCGCTGGGGCATCTGTGCCCCGGACGAGTATAGGTTTCGGCTTGCATTTGTCACGGATCATGGATCTCCAATCGTCGATAGCCACAAAATAGAATATTAATGAGCTGCCTAATTTTCCCCCCAATTATCCATAAGACTCCTGCCAATTTTACCCAAATTATCCATAAATAACCCTGCATTTTGAGGAAAATTTGGGAAAATTGAACAATTTTACAACGAATTTCGCACGAAAACAGCAACCTTTGCAGTTCGCAAATTAAATCGCAAGTTTATACGTTTGGCTGCGCTGCTTTAATATATTTTGAGAAGAAAGCGACAACGTTTGATTCAGCGTAAGAAATTCTACTCACGGGATGTCAAATGTATTACTAAACAGCAGTATTCTAGCGATTTATGGCCTTTGAAAATCAAGCGAAATTGGCCAAATTGTATAAATGTTGACAAGTCACTCACACTACCTTTGTCCTTGTATTTGTAATGCCTCATGGCGCAATAACGATAAAAATATCACCGTTCGATTCAGGGTAAGAAATTGTACTAAACAATAGTATTCTAGCGATTTATGGTCTTTGTCTTTGAAAGACAAGCGAAATTGTATTGTTAACAAATCGCTCATACGGATGTCAAATGTATTACTAAACAACAGTAATCTACCGATTTATGGCTGTCTTTGAAAGCCAAGCGAAATTGTATTGTTGATAATTTTGGTATCATTGGTTTTCTCTTTTTCGGCCGTATAACAGTGGATCCGTCTTACTTCTCTCTTCATTTTGACAGTATTTTGAGCCCAAAAGCCCCCAAATTAGTTTATTTTGAACGTTTTAAAGCGCAGTGAGCAGCCTAGCGTACGGACCAATTAGTGGCGGCTATGTAGCGTACTAAATATAACTTTACTTGTAGGGCCTACCGCATTTTAGCACTGTGTTAAGCCTTTAAAATTGCGCTCGTATTCAACTTTTCCGCTTAGTAATGTGCGTATTTGTATGACTTGTATAGCCCCAGCGAGTTAACGCTCCGCAGAGCGTCTTGTTTCTAATTAGTTCCACTCGAGAAATCACAAGACAAAGAAAGATTCCGCTCCGCGCGCAAAATTCCGCCTAGTGGAAAACCAGCTTAACGCTATGATATCAATACACAACAGTTTCTCTTTGATATCTTTTCAGTATAAAGGCTGGTTACATGTTACTCAACCGTTTTGCTCAACCCAGACACTAGCCTGCGTACAGCCTGACTTCCCCCTTCCCCATCAAAAAGTCAGGCTGCACGCAAGCTATTCACATGCAGGCTTTATGTTTTATTACCCAAACATGCATGTGAGCCTGACTGGCCGATTTTGATTTAACCTCCAGAGCATGTATTTTATTTTATTTTAAAAAATACATTTCAAGCATGCGTTATTACATTAATTTTTTGTATCTGCGAAGCAGATATATTGGGCATGGTAGAAAACCCGGGTAGCGGATAACCGGATAATCGGATAACCGGATAATCGGATAACCGGATAATCGGATAACCGGATAATCGGATAGTATATAGAGATTTTTTCATGGGAAATACTTACGTGTGGTATTTACGCGCGCGTTAATTTGTTTTCGCAAATTAAACGAACGAGCGAGTGCAAAATTTGTTTACTTCATAGACGATACAGAGTTTATTTATATTACACAGCGAAAAATATAAAGGTTTATATGTTTCATAAAGCGAGACAATCAGATAAACAAAGTCGTGTCGTACAAAAATACATCGGAAAATACAAATTTTTCAGTATTAAACTATTAATGAACAGGAAAGGAAATATCAATTTATTATTATTATTTACAAATATTTTAAAACGGTAGCTCTTCAGAACACTTATGATCCGTCTTTCAAGAGGCCGTTTATTAAACTAATATTTACAAAGTTTAATAAAAATTACATCTAAAATATAATATAAATTATCACACAGTTAAAGTCTAAGAGAATATATACAAAATATTGTATGCACACATAAATATAACTAACAAACTGTTGTCGTTTTCTCTGAGAAATGTTTTGAATTGTCCCATCGTCATTTCTTTTGCCTTAATCTCATTTGGCAAATTATTCCAGCATTTTGCCCCTGAGTAGCTAATACTTTTTTTGAGGAAATTAGTCTTAGGTTTATCATACAGTTGAAAATTAATTCCGTTATTTCTAAGGTCATATTTTTCATTATTAGAGAATCTAAACAAATTACCCATATTTTCCGGTGCCTCCTGATTTTTAACATTAAACATGGATGTGAATCACCCGCTCTCCCTTCTTTCCTCAAGTGTTTGCCAATTAAAAGCTCTTTTAGCAATTCACTTGTACGTATTTCATATGATTTGCCAGTAATTTGCATCTTGTCGTGCAAGTAATTACTGCAATTTTCCAAAACTAGACTGCAATAATCAATAAAAAGGAAATATCAATAAAATAATGCATCTATTCGAAAAACTCAGTATCTATATAATAAAAAGATTTTTATTCTAATTTTAAGGTAAATATTCCATTCATGATTCTCATTGATTTAAGAACCGCGTTAGCCCCCTCAGATACGTCCAAAGGCTTCTGTTATCAATACTGATTACTGGGCCCTTTCTCGATATATGAGCAACCGAAAGTATTGCATATAAATAAACATACGTTCTTGGCGTTATGGTGGGGGTATTGTATAATTGCACGGGCTTGCTCATATATCGATTAGTTATTGTTACAGGTATTTTGTCTTGAATATTTAACTTAAGCCTTCAACCCGAGCATAGGCGTATAAAGAAGCGCCGAGCGCTATATACTATATGAAATACAATGTCAATGTGGAGGTCAATGTAGTAAACATGTAGTTCTATAAATAGCGCTGCAAAGCTTATAATTATTCAACCCTGGTCGAAATGTATAAGCTTTGCAGCGCTATTTATAGAACTACTGTACATTGTTGAAACAACATAAATTGAAAATATGCAGTGCTAGCGGTATGTGTTTATATATATTATAACGACTTGGCACGATGTTTATAGTTTTGTTTAAATAAATGTTCGCGTATTATTACATGTAATATCATTTTGGTAACCCGTCTCAATTCATAATGTTTGACAAATTTGCATTGATTCTGTCATTGCCCATTGCCATTGCCCAGTATAGTATATAGGTTTTATGTCAATCTGCACGATACATATTCGTTTTTGCAAGAGAATTCGAAATCATCCACATGTTGTACTTGACTTTGTTGAATTATTGTAAAAGATAAAACCGATATCGGTTTTAACAGAAAGCAAACATACACGTTCTGGGTTAGTTCATTATTTAATATACACAAGAAACAGTAGAGGGCCAACGATAAAGTGTTTATAAAGATACTTCTTCACTCACCAATATTAAACTGATTTTAGTGATAATTATTGGCATTGCAAAATTTATGAAGACAACAATAGGGTGACCCTATACAGACAATAGCTTTATAGCACCACTTGGTTTGACATACTGCTAAAAAGGAACTTTCAAAATCATTGACGAGGTAGTTTCCTGCTGTAATGCTTTCTCTACTCTTTCAGTTACCTGGCTTTATTACAGTTCGACCTTATTTATTACCTAAACTATTAAGGCTGTTTAAAATAATCTTTGTTTTAATATACACTTGTTATTTTTAGTCAATTAATAAGTGCTCAATCATGCCACCCCTTGCTACCCCTACTGAGTATAGCACGTGTTCATGACTCACATGACCACACCATACCAGGGTCTCTCCGACGCAGGGGGTGAGCGGAGGTGAGACACTTGGAACGAAGTTGATTGCCATATTCTTAAGATTTTTTTAGAAATAAGGCAATTTCTTTCACATTTCCTTCAATCATCCGAAATTTTCTTCAAATTTCCTTCAAATTCGAATTTCCTTATAACTTCCTTCAACTTGTTAAAATTTCAATCAAAAAGGAAATTTCCTTTTGTCAGCAAGGCAAGGGTTTCTGCATGCATGCATGTATTTTCTAGTTTAACATGAAATATTGCAAAATTGGCAACACTGAACGCAGGCTAGCGTTGCCATAACAACACGATAACTTTCTTATATTCTTTTTACAAAACGGTAAATGTAAGTTGAAAGTTTAGTACTTTTAACCATATACAATATTGAATTCAAATTTCCAAAATAGATACTGCAGTTATGTTATTTTGCATCTTGATAGCTTTATTTTAATCTTAAATTTAGTAACTGTTTTGATGTTTTGCAATGTTCATTTAATTATTACAGTAAACTACAACTGCCAATAAACTGTTTTTAAATAATGAAATATAAAAAGTTAAATTAATTGTAGGATATATAAATTCAGTTCCGTCTTTAAATTCTTCAGTTAGGAAACTTATAGCTTCGTTGAAAAGGACGACATTTTTATGCTAAGAGAAAATATTAAACATTCGAAGCAAACTTGTTGATTTCCCATGGTAAATCAATTTTTTTCATTTCTTCAAACAAAGTTGCTTCAAAACTCATTGCATATGAAACGATGCGAATTGGGATTACATGCACTGATCTCAACTATATAGGCACTGTAGATGTTTTAATTTCATTAATTTATTAATAGAATGCGCTGATCTTAAAAATAAGGCTTGATTCGGTTTTTTATTATAATTTTTAGACCATTAAGAAGGTGACTCAAGTTTACAACAATAGAATAGAATAGAATAGAAACTTTATTTCACGAGGGAAAACGTGTTAACCGTAAAAGTTATCTAACATACGGCCCTTGCACTATTTTGATATTTACAGGCATAAAAAGTGTTAAGGATTACGACTATTTACATTTGAGAAAAAAATCATTAGTA